GTTCTGCTCCCACTGCTGCAATGGGATCGAAATGGAGGCAGCTTAGGGACCACATGTAGCCCCTCCTCCCTGCTCCCCTCTTTCATATCCCTAATTGGATTTAGGCTGGAGGTGTTTCTTTCCCTCTTTCTGCCCCAAAGAGGCAAATTCATCAGTGATAGCCATAAACACTTCATGTTAGATGAACACCTCAGTGACCAGGACTACCTTAAATGGATGTTGCAGGTAAACACTTAATATTTGTGAAGTCAAAGTCTTCCTGTCCTCTTTTTCTTATTCTTTAAATCCCTGGCCTGTATGATGAGTATCTCTAGAATAACTTCACTTTTAAATTGCATCTCCTTCTGTTACATTACCAATGACTGGTAAATGTTGTGCCCAAGTTCTGAAGCAACAGGCTCTTTTAAATTACTTTTTCACTACAAGGGATACTTGGAGGTGCTAATGTGTTCACAGGTGCATTTGACTGGTAACTCTGTCTAAAGTGGTAAATCAGAGCTGTGTTTCAACCCTGGAGGTCAGGCTACCTAGATGCCAGAAGATAGGCCCAGGAGCAGAAGAGAAAACTAATTTGGCTGCAAGATGGACAGAAGTGTGCCATTCATCACTTACTACAACAGAATCATCACCAGTTAGATCAATGACTTCAGGCTCAGCAGATTCGCCTGTGAGATCTATGATTTCGTCAACAGCTGAAAAAAAGAAATGGGCTGTCACTGTGGAACAGGCTGAGGTAGATTCAGTTGTGCCTTGGGTCTCTTCTCTTCAGGAATGTGGCCAAAATTTCACTCAAGCTTTGCCCTCCACAGTCCACAGGGACCATTACCAGCCCTGTTTTTTCACAGGTGGCAGCGCAAGAGGAACAGCAGCTGAACTCCTCACACAGTTCTGTTGGATAACAATATCTTGTGGGAGGTACACACCAACAGATGATTCATCTAACATAGGGTAATGTTTATCAGACAGAAAAAAAACCCAAAACAAAACCCAAAGCAAAACCAGAATCATAGAGGGTATCCTAATTTTACAGCACCATGCTGTACATGTTCCCCTGAGGGATGTGGCACAGCTAGCTTTTCCTTATCTTCTTCCAGCTTGAGAGATTTCATACTTAGTTTGCCACCCTCTGTAGTGGCAGCTGTTGCACCTGCCAGCTCATCGGAGTTCATTCAGATATCTGAGCAGCACTTGAGGACCTTTGCTACACAGCTCATCTCCCTCATTTTAGTGGAAATTCTCTCTCATTCTCTTTCAAATGAGAGCATGGAATCTCTCTCATTTTAGTGGAAAATGTATCACAAACCCAAATAGTTGTGAGAAGGCTTGTTATTTAGAGATGCCGTACTAGGCACTTCCTAAAATCCCATGTTTCCCTTCCTTCCCAGTAAAGGGCCTAGAAACTGGCAAAAGCATATGTTCAGTTGTGTGCCAAACCTCTAGAAGCAGTTTCTGTTCTTACCAAGATCAAAAGAAAGCACACGACTTTCTTCGAGGTCTATTGGCTCTGCTGCTGAACCTTCACCTGCACTAGAAGCCAGCAGCCTGCTTCGTTTCGAAGCTTGTCCGGAATTAACGGCTCCTCCACGGCGCTTTCGCCGATTCTAAGAGAGAACAAAGCCTTAGCATTTTGTGTGGGAGTAATATTAATGGGGCCCTCATTTTTACAACACCGGTGAAAGTATACGAGGATACAGAAAACAACTCCACAAAGGCTGGAATACACATTGAATGGTGCTCTGGTTCATTCCTACCTGAGCCCACTGCATCAAGGAAAAGACATCACCCCAATCTCTTACCAGTTGCCTCACCAAGAAAAAGCCTATCCCAGTGGCTTGCAAATAAGAAGACTAGTTCACAGTTCTATCAGGTTGTTGCTCACACTGTAAGCATTTCTGAGCTATTGCTAGCACCCCGAGAGATTCAAAATCTTCAGTATCCCAGAACATGAAGTTACGTTAAGTTTTAACAGGCTTGTCTTCCCGTGCACTTGCTAAAAACTCTTGAAATCCTTTCTAGAAGTACCCCAGCAAATATGTTTCAGAAATCAGATTTGCATTGAGTAGTAAAGTACTTACTGTGCTCATGGTGTTTTGTGATCTAAAACCACTGGAAAAGTCAGTGGGACAAACACCGAAAAAGGAATTTCAGGGAAGTTACAGCAATCGATCCCTTATATTCCTTAGGTAGAACAATCTACAAAGTCCTGATTTCTAGGAATCAGAGAACGATGTTCTTCCAAATCTATCAGAAAAGAAGAGAGGAGATTACCTATCTGGAATGCCTGTTCTCTTAAATACCCACACATACTCTAAGATTCCCTTTCACGAGTCACAAGTTTCTGCCCAAAGCCAGAGGGGAAATCTACACGTCTGGTACTTGAGTCCCAGACACCTGCAGCTGGACCTGAAGCCCAGAACAGCCCCACAGCATCAGAAACATTTTCAAAGATCATCTACACTCACCTGTACAGTTACTTGAGAATTTTTCTTGAAAATTATCAGCAAATCGCCTTCTGTTCCCACCGGGGACAGAGAAGACAGAGGCTCTGCACCTGCTTCCCAGCAGAGTATCCGCCAACTGCCAACTGTCGATGGAGTGTTGGGCTCCTGACCCCTCTGTGCAGGAGCCCGCTTGGCAACCGTTTGGTAACATTCCATGGTCCGGTAGCTGGTGTCCTCTTTGCACCCTCGTGGAGGCCCAGAATGCTTTGGTTTGGAAGGGACCTTAAAGATCATCTGGTTGTAACTCCCCTACCAAGGATAGGGACACCATCCACTAAATCAGGGTGATCAGGGCCCCATCTAGCCTGGCCTGGAATAGTGCCTTCCAGGGATGGGGCATCCACAGCTTCTCTGGGCAGCCTGTTCCAGTGTCTCGACACCCTCACAGCTCTTCCTAACATCTAATCTAAATCGTCCCTCTTCTGGTTTTAAACCGTTCCCCCTTTTCCTCTCACTCACTGCCCATGTGAAGAAATCGCTCTCTGCCTTTGCTATAGGCCCCTTCGGCCACTGGAGGGCCGCAGTGAGGCCTCCCCCGGAGCCCGTTCCTCTCCAGGCTGGACATCCCCGGCTCTCCCAGCCTGGCTCCATAGGAGAGGTGCTCCGGCCCTCTGAGCATCTTTGTGCCCGCTGCTTCCTTGCCCCTTCGTGCCGCCCCGGCGGGCACATCCTGCTTGTGCCGGGTCAGAGCCGGGCGCAGCCTCCGGGCGAGGCCTCACGAGGGCAGAGCAGAGAGACACATCCACCCCCCTCCGCCTCCAGCCCGAGTAACGCTGCAGCCTTTCGGTGGCTAAAGGAACCCCACCAAAACCTCCCCTCCCCCGTGAGAAAATTAAACCCTTTCTTAACCTTCTTCCTCCATGTTTATTACTCTGTTGTTGAAAAGACTCGTTTTAATTTTAACCCTAATTAAAAGCAATTAAAATGACACCAAACTTCCCTCTTCCCGCCGCCCCCCCAAACTGGTGAAAATCTAACAGTTTAGATCCTTATTTCAAGTCTCTAAAGTCTTGAAGTTTTCAGGTGTTCAACTGTTCCTCTGCTGAATATTTCACAACAGGGTTAGGAGGAGGTTTGCTCTCCTTCTGGGGACAGCACCTCCCCCCCGCAAGGCCCTGCTCTGCTATGAAAGGTGACACAGGAAAAAAAGTGAAATTAAAATTCCATTTTCCTTCCAGCCAGTCTACCACTGGACCTGCATTCAAAGGGGTTGGCTGGAGCTCTTGAGAGTGGCAGCAACCCTGTCTCAGCCCTGCTGGATGCGAGATGCTCCTCAGCTTCCTATCCCATGGGCACTCTCGGGTGTGGGGAGGATGGTGGCAATTTATCCAACACTGCGGATAGCATAAGGATATTTTCAGATCGTGCTCTATGTGAGGAGGTTCATTTCTTACAAAAATTTCTCTGTTATTACAACTGTTGCTTTTAGGTCAAAATGTTGAGAGTTTAAGGATGGTTGGGGATGACTCCCCCATTTTTCTCAGTCCTGTGTCCGGGAATTGAAGGAAACTCATTTCAGTCATCATATTCACATCCTTCATTCCTCATATTTGTTGCTGGTTTGAGGTACTTAATTATTCATATATTAAATATATATTTGGAATTGCTCTAGCATCTTAACATTTGTATATCAAACATTAAATCTCCTTTAGGATTTTTTTTTATCTAAGCCTCTGCCCTTTGGATCCAAGATTTTTGGAAAGCAAGAGTGTTTAAACTGGATTTACTGGAGTATGAAACATTAAGGCAGGGACCCTGTCCACTCACGCTCCAGGTGCAGCTGAGGTTGGCTGAGTGGAACCAGCACCACTTGTATTTCAGGGTGGGACTGGATGGCTTTTAGCAGGAATGTGTTATTAGGGGTAAGGGAGGAGAGAGCACTGAGGAAAAGGAGGGGTAGCTTTTAATAAGTTGAACATTTGAAGGCTATCAGGCTTGATCTTCCTCAATGCTGCTAATGATCACAGCAGAGGGCGCTGAAAAAATGTTTATTGTAAGACCTAACACTTTTTAACTGAAGCCACTATTGAAAATACTCATCACTCAGTGGTGGAAGGGAGGGAAATCTCTTGTCCCTTCTCTGTGCATCGCACAAAAACTGAAAAGGCTACATACCTGTTCTATCTCCTTCCATGTGGACCAGCTTTAATGCAGGGCGTAAGACCTCTGAAATACCCCTTGCCTTTCCATTTCATGAAGGAAGAAGTTTACATCTATTAACTTCCAAAAATAAAAGGTTAATTATAGCCAACAGTGTAAACTAAGCCCAGATTGAGCTGGCTTCTATATTAATCACCCCGGAAAAACAGCATTGGGATTTTCGCTGATGGCTATGGTTTGCCACCATTTTTTGTCAGGAGAAAGCAACTTATAAGTGAGAAATGCATGGTTCACTGGCCAGAGGTTTTCAGCTCTGTACTCTCCCAAATCAGGGGTACCCTGGAGATCAGAGCAAGAGTCATAAAATAATTTAAGAAGGATGAATGTAGTATAAGATGTCATATACAGACATAGCCTGCTACAGAGTGATCACTGATGAAAAGAAAATGTACAATGACATGAGAAAACCCACTTGCCACCCCAGCTGGGTTGGTACTGCTTCTCACTCTTTGAGTCACTAATAACAAAAATGATTTTGAGCTGTGGATAGACAAACAACTGGACTCTACAAGGCAGCAGAGGTCCAGCAACTAGCTCGGTCCTTCATCCCCATGACCACGGCTGTGTTTGCCCACAAGGGCCTGCCCGTGGGCAAGTTGGTTTTGCTGCTAGGGGGACTCAAGTGAAAGAGGGCTACTGGGTTATTGATGAGAGGGAGTGTGACACTTGGCTCCCCACACAGCTCAGCACAGGAATAGGATTGCACTCCCCAAAGCAACCCTGCATAGCAGTCCTTCTAAATCCACCATAAGGATGCAGGGAAATAGACAAAGATTACCAAAAGAAGCCGCAAAAAGATGATAATATTGACTTATAATAATTTTTACTAGTCCCACTGAGAATTGCATTGCAATTCATGTGTCAAATTGTGCCTTTGCTTGACTATAGCAATGGTTGTGACTTCAGAATACATTTCCCAGTCTCTTCACGGGGAAGTGCTGGTGGGTGGTCTATTAGAGTAATACATATTGAGACAGTTTAAATTAGGTAAAAACATTTTTGAAGCAGTAAAACATTTTGAGTAAAAACATTTTAAGTAAAAACATTTTGAGGCAGTAGTGAGTGGCTTGTTCTGCAGAAGAAAAACTCAGGTAGGTTTCTTATTGCTGGGACTGATTTGCACCCTTCTCAATGGCACTAAGTGCTTCTCTTGGCAAAGGATGGAGGCTCTGGAGCATCTTCCATCCTCCAAAAATCTGGATGTGCTCAGGGCCCCTCCAGTTGCCCAGATTTGGCTGTCAGCTTAGCAGGAAGGCTGAGCACTGGGAAGAGGGGTTTGCTGAGGTCTGAGTGGTATTTCAGTCCATCTCAGTCCCTGCTCCTTGGCACAGGATGATGGCACTGAGTAACTACAGGAGGTGAGGGGAAAAATCATTATTCTTCTATAGCCATGTTCCTCTTCTTTTGAGAGGTACTGCTTTCAGCTGCTCTGCCAGGCAGTCTGCTTTTGCCCTCTTCTGAAAAAACATGGTGTTATAAGGGGGACTTGTGTCTCTCCAGGCTGCCCCCTCTGTCCCTGCACAGCCACAAAAGTATCTGTGCACTGAACAGAGTTATTGGTGATGGGCACCACTTGGCCTGCTCTGCACAGTCAGTGTCGAGCTCTGTACCTAAAAACATACAGTTCAAAACTCCTTTTTAAGCTCAGTGCTAAAGGTTGGTGCCCAATACCCTGTTTGCGGTACCCAGCTTCTAAACCTGTAAAAGATGCCATTTGGACTGATGCTTGCCCCTTCAAATGGTTCCTCAAAGCTCATAATTGTTTTTTAGACTTCTTTTAAGAAGCATTTTAGCAGTTCTTTGCAACGTCGTTGGCCTGAAGCAGTAGCATGATAGTGAAATTGGGCAGGAGGAGATCACAACCCTGGAAGAGGTAAGAAGGCTTCCTCCAGGGGTTTAATACCCAAAGGCTGAGTTCAGCGGGTTTCCTCAATGACGATGCTGCTTCAAGATACATCACTGGAAAACCTGTGCATCTGTGTGTGCTTTGGGCAAAGGACCCGACCTGAGCCTTGCCCAGCTGGCCTGCTGTGGCAATCCCCAAGCAGGGGTCACAGATCGCCTGGCTCACTTGACTCATGGGGGACCTGATGCCTTTTTCATCCAGCACCTGCTTTTTCTAGTACTGCTGCATGTGCTGGCACATGTGCAAAACCAGCTTTAACAGAAATCCACTTTTGCAAAATCTGAGGGGTTTTCACTGCCCCAGGCGCTGAAGAAAACCCTCAGCACCTCATGTGTGAGGGCTTTTAGGCTCCAGAAAGCAGAGATAGCACACAATAATGGATGTTTCTTCTCTAAGCATGACATTTAAGTGAATAAACAACTACATATACTCACCTGGCCACATCCCCACAATTAGCATTTTTAAGAGTAGCTGGGATTTTTGAGGACAATATCTTTTTTGCTCTGTACCCACAGAAAATACTTATCACTCTTCACTCCCCACTTTGATCCAATACTCCAGGAAAACCTTTTCCCTGGGAAACTCACAGTTTTTCTGTTCAGTGGCCACTTGTGCTATTTGGCAGGTGAGTTTGGAAGAGCAGAGCCAGGCACCTTGGTGGTGGTGAGGAGAGGGTCCAGGATGAGCATGCCAAAATGCTGTGTGCCGCCGGGTGTAGAGCCAGAAATTCAGGCACAGAAATTCCAGGTGCTTTAACAGTAACTGTGCGAGGAGGTAATGCTGGTTTATAACTGTATGCCATTTATACCTGAACTAGCCTGTTTTATACCTGACCTTGCCATTCAGGCAGGTCTCCCTGGGAGCTCAGGGAAGCAATGGGGCAAGAGGGCAGCAATGCCCATCAGGCAGAGCTGGGCATCATTCAACAGGCACAAAACATTCCCACCAAAAGGCTTTTTATTCCACTAGATGGTGCCCAGTCCTTGCTTAGGGATATTGCTTAATCGTGTGGACAAGGATGCAGTCGGGACTGATGATGGAGGTGACTGGGCACTACGCCGGGGTCCCCATGGGGCTGCAAACCCACCAGTTCCAGCCCTGCCAGTGGTAAGACCCCAAAACCACCCTCTTCATATGCCAGGCAATCCTGCTGAGCCTGAGTTTCCCGGAACATTGCCATAGCCCATCAGATTGCGGGTGTGATGTGCTGTGGCAATTCCGGGAGTGAGTCACCCAGCCCAGTTTATCAGCAGCCCTGTGAGCCAGATGGGCCAGTACAGAGGGTCCCTGAGCCTTTGGAGGTCTTCTGGATGCTGCCCTGAACCTGGGAAGCTTCAGGCAAACCCCTGCCACAGACTGCCTCGGTCTCCATGTCCCTGCAGCACTACCACCAGGCTACCTGGGCTGGCTCCCCTGGAGGCACCAGGGCCTGGTGCCCTGGTGGGGGCAGAGTGGGCACATGCAATTTTTGATCCTTTCTGCTGGAGACCATGAGCTGTAGCAAAACAGAGCCCCAAGAGCTGATGCTAACTGACAGCACCAGTGAGATACACAGTGTTATCCTGGTCCTGATGGTTCCAGCATCAAGCAACTGTGCATGATCCCTGAGACCCAAGTGGCTCAGAGAAGCTGTGGATGCTCCATTCCTGTAAGCATTCAAGGCCAGATGGAGCCCTGAGCAACCTGATCTAGTGGTGGCATCCCTGCCTATGGCAGGGGAGTTAGAACCAGATGATCTTTAAGGTCCCTTCTAACCTAAACTATTCTGTTATTCTACGGCCCAAAACAGGATCTGCCACTTCCCTGTGCGCAGTTGTGCAGAGGGCAGGGGAGCAGGCACTCTGTGGGTACCTCACTTGCATCGTGGCTGCTCCCACTCCCTCCCGGCATGGGCACAGTGCTGGTGGGGAGTCCCCTCAGCACGTGCTGAGGCAGCACCTCTCCCTCTCGAGGCTCAGCACCAGTCCCACTGTGCCACTCACTCCAGCGCGCTGCCGAACATGCCTGTTTTAGCAGCTTCTTGGACAGAAAAAGCAACCTGCAATTGCATAAACAGTGATTAACTTCAGGCACCACCGACAGCATGGCTCCAGCGTGTCGAAGCCCAGCCTGGCTTGCGTGCGGGGGCCAGCGGTGGGAATGGCGGCAGGAATGGCGGCACCACGGCCAGAGTGTTACGCTGCTGCCGGAAGGACGGTGTGGCCAACAAATGGTCAGCGTTCCAGAGGGCTCAATGGGGATTTCTCACTGCAGGAGATGGACGAGCCCAGGGGGGTGATGCTCTTGTGGGGCTCCCCAGCAAGCCCTAACTGCCCAGAGAGGCAAGTGGCCCTGGGCAGGATCCGGTGGGGTTTGATACCCCAAGGGAGGGATGTGTAGGGCTTGTTGGCCAGATTGCAGTCCCAAAGGTGATGGCTGGGCCAGGGATGTGCTGTGGCCAGAAATCTCCTTATGCCCAGGGACCAGCCCCACCTCCAGCATTTTTCTTGTGGCAGAGTAGCTGCCTGAAGTCCCGCTGCAAAGACCAGAGTTAGCAGATCCTCAGGTACAGAAATGCCTTTATTTCTCCAGTAGGCTGGAAGTGAAACCGCGAGGACAGAGGCTTTTTCTCAATGTTTCTTTACTTGCTTCACATCAGTGCACAAACAGGGCTACCCTATGCCGTGTAGCATGACTGCTGTTACATAGCTGTCTAGCACAGCAAACCCATGCATCCCTGCTGCAGCACCACATGCAGCCTCCCTCAAATTAACAGATTACATGAACAGTGATTTTTGGCTCCTGAGCTGTGAAGCACCACTTGCCCCCCGGCAACGTGCCCCTCACCCAGGCAAGAGCAGAGGCCACAGTGGGGATGCCAAGGGAGGGAACACAACATGTGGGACCCCCCAGCTCCACCGCTGGAGCTCGCCGGTGTGAATACTGGCAGCCTCTCAGAGAGATCCCTGGATCCAGCGGCCATAGGGGTGCCCTGGGGATCCCCACCCTGAGGGCCGAAGTCCTGTTTGTCCACTGTCACTATGGGTGTCCTGCTCCCCCTCGGAGGACTGGCTGCTGTCAGCACCCCCAAGGCCGGTGTAGGGGCCGTGGGGGCCACCCTCTGCCCTGCCGAGGGTGTAAAAAGCCCGCTCGCGGACGTGAAGCTCATCGGCGCGCTTCAGCTGGTCCACCTGTCTGCTGTGGCCCAGCGCTGCGAACGTCCCCGGTGCCCCAGTCCCCAGCTTTCTGCCGTGGTGCCCGGGGAGGCGGCCACCCCCAGCTCCCGACACTGCTGCCCCAGTCTCACCACCTCGCCCCCTCTCCCGGCCCTTGCCTGCTGCCATGCTGCCCACGTCTTGCCGTGCCTGCGGAGTGGGGCTGCCCCCTGCTTTGGTGGCATGCGACCTGCCCCCAGCATCCCCACCACGGCTGCCAGCCTTTGTCTGGGCCCTGCTCGATGTCTGGCTGCTGGCTTTCCCGCTTGGGGATGGTGGTTTGTCTGTCCTGTGTGTCTTGTCCAGTCCTGCTCCCCCTGGCCAGACCCTCACCCCTGCCCCAGGCTGTCCCTCCCCACGGGGCTTTGGGGTGGCTGGTCTCACTTCCTGACTCCCTCCTTTCCCCACCACAGTGCTCCTGCCTGCCTCACGGCTGCTGGCTGTCA